TGATAACATTTTACACTTGTTAACTAATAACATATGTACGTATGCACAGAAGAAGAACAAAATCTGATAAATTTGAGATGTTCAGGCGAGAACTTCTCAAAAATCTGTTTTATATCCATACACACATGCATGTACAGCCACAACAATCAAACAGTACCCTAATGCCACATATTGCTCCACACTGCAGAAGTATTTGCCACTTTTATTTCCATCTGACCCGAATGCTTCCTTGTTCAGTGAATGGCAGATTGTCGCTGTATTGTTTAATTTGAAAAGTTCTCACACTGAAATTATAGGCTAGCTGTGCTTTGGGATGTCAATGTTGTGTACTTGTGAGTAAAAAAGCGTCAGTTTTTGTATCAGTTAATGTTTTAAATGCTAGTTAGTTGAACTTCGTCGTAAACAGAGTCCAGTGATCAGATAACAGTCCAGGCCACCTTCACTGTCCGTCGGTCTTCATGGTTTCAGTTTTGTCTCGTCGAAGCTAACCACGATAACGGGTACATCGGCTAAACCACGGAAAACTCGCAGAAAAAAAAACCAATCTATCATAATCGGTGGGTTTAATGTGTGATCATATGGCGCGAATGCGGGAACGGGGATCGAAACAAACAACTGTATGTTAATCACATTCAAACAAATTTAACACAGGTTCACGCATTTCTTGCGCAATGTGCTACAGCCACTTTACAACACGAAGCTATCATTTACTGTCTGTCGCTTCCTCGTGACAGTCCTGGAAAGTGTTGGCTGTAGATTTACACAAAGTTCACCCTCACCCATTCCCTCATGACGAACCGCAAAACCTGGCTAACCGTGAGTTTAGCGAACTCACTGCTGGCTAGCTGAAACGCAGCAAAGATCTGGGGATAGCGATGTAGCCGATTAGCAAACGGCTTATACCGGGGAAACCCACACACGGTCTAACGTCGGCCACATCGAAGCTCACTCCCTCGGTCACGCAGACCATGTCTGTCTGACGACCAAAGCGGGTTAGAAAAATTAAACGTGAGTTCACCAGTCGTCGTCGAAGGGCTGACTGTGGACTCTCCGGCCTAATTTGCCGGTGCCCTGCTGCCGAACGTTCATATCTGGTCAGCTAGGTGCCAAGTGGTGATCGCTCTTCTTGATTTACAGCCAAAGACGGGCACTGATTGTGTATTCACAGAGCAAGATTTCTTATATGACCTTAGGCAAACGGCGAACGCACCCACGAGCCGTCAATCCGTTAGATATTATGTAAAAATAACGGGATCGGGAGATTTACCTTGGCCAGCCTCCTGCTCGCCGCCATCTTGAAACTACTGTGTGTATTCCCAGAATACACAGCGCGGTGAATATGGTCTGGTGCTGGGCTGGGATCAGGTCAGACCGTCCGTGGGTCAGCTTCGTTCAGCACTCCGTTGTCAGCCTTGGATCTTGAAGGGAAAAACACGAACCTTACATGAGCGTGTAAACTGGATAAACCAGGCTTCTTCTCAGACTGCTTAATGCTTCATGGTCCATAAATTAGATGTAACATGACTACAGAATTGCAGTTCTTCTTTCAGGGCTTAGGATTTTCTGGTAAAATAAGGGTACTCTCGCTAACTTTCGAAAAACTTGGACAAATACAAAGGTGTAGTTTATTACATTGTTGATGAACTTGTGATGCATTTAAATGCCAAATGATTAATTATATATAATAACAATATAAAGGGGCACCTTATACCTTCAATGTGCCCCCATCAGCAGAAGACAATGCATGTTACTCAAGACAACTACATCTCTGGCTGAGAGAGACTGTGAGCTCGATTTACCTGATTTACACTGCAGGTTAAAGCCTGCCATTGGTCATGCTTTTCATGTGGATTTCTTCTTTTTTTCCCCCCTATCTACATGTGACAGTTTTCATAATTCCCTTCACTAAGGAAGCAACAACGGCCTTCTGGCAGCAACGAAACACACTGAAAATTTTAACTTATGCAGAGAATTTGGATCATGCAGTAAGGCTGCTAGTTTTTCTTCTCTTGTTTTTGTTTAAATTAGCTATTTTTTGACAGCGCTTGCCTCCCTACATGCAAATGTTCCACCATAACTCTTCCCCATCACTATTTTGAGGGCCCATGTGAAGCATTTTTGGCTTAGCTTCACCTAATATAATTGCAATTGGTGTACAGAAATACAAACAAGCCAGAGCGTTGTTGGTTTTTTTCCTCACATAGCTGGATGGCCACAGACAGCGCTGTGCAGAATGGTCTGGCTATGTGATACTACTACAGCCTCAGTTCAGATGACCATCAAAAGATTTTCAAGATAGGACTCATTTTTTTTCAAACTTCCTACGCACAGATTTAAATTGTATTGTGCAGCACTAATGGTAATGACAATTGTAAATTTATTTTTCTCTCGCTTACCTCGTCCCTGGCTTTTACAGCTTTGGATTCAACCTTTGAATGAAGAACTGCCTCTAGCTGCATTCTGCAGATCACATTGCAGCAGCCGCTAGAGTGCTTTATAGGGTCGAGGATAAATGCAACAAAGTGTGGGGAAATACTGAGGGACAACCTGATGCAGATAACTGCTGCAAGAAGATTTGTTTTCGACAAAGACAATGTCCCAAAGCACACAGTCAAAACTACACAGACATGGTTTGAAACAAGGTTAATTCTCTAGAGTGACCATGTCAGAGCCCAGATCTCAATCCAACTGAGAATTTTTGGCTGGACTTGACAAGGACTGTTTGTTCACAATCACCATACAACCTGACTGTACTTGAGCAGTTTTGCAAATAAGAATATGGTAATGTTTGTCTATGATGGACCATGGACCTGAAGCATCTATTTGAGAGGAGTGGGTCAAACAGATGGTGTCCAGGATGGGATTGGTCCTTAAGAATGTTTGCTGCTCTACTGAGGCAGTGAGGGCTGATTGTAGTTGTCCAAAGAAGGCAGTGAACAGCTGATGATCTTCTGGTTGATGTTGGTGATCCTCTGGAAGACTCTCCTGTCTTCTGCGAAGCAGCTGGCAGATCACACAATGATACAGTACACCAGCACGCTCTCAACAGAGCAGCAGTAAAAGGACACTAGCAGCTTTTCCTGCAGGTTGTTTTTTCTGAGGATCCACAGGAAGTAGAGTCACTTCTGTGCCGTCTTTACTGCTGCTGGTCCAAAAGAGAGCTTCATAAATGACTGTACCCAGTAACCTGAAGGCAGGGGCCCTTTCAACACAGTCCCCTTCAGTAGCAGATCAGGGTCAGCTCAGTTTCTTTTAAAGTCAATAAGGAATTCTTTTTTTGTTTTCTGAACACCACACAGTCAGTGTTTGGACTTCATCTCTGTCGTTGGAGTCATCTCCTACTGAGATAAGTCCAACCACAGTCATGTTGTTGGTAAAAAATGAAAGCAAATTAAGCTAAATTAATTAAATAATAGCAAATGTCTATTTTATTATTATAGAGTGACTATTAAATACCAGAAAAATGACCAGTTACCTACTGTTGGTACACCAATGACTTATAGAAAATCTCCTGTTTTTGACTGAAGTCAAAACTGAATGCATTGTGTTTGGGGATACGGATTTATCTGGTTTCAGTACGATGACCTAAAGACCAACTGTCAAAAGTCTTGGGGTGATGTTCAACAGAGGTCTGAAATTCGACAAACAAATTGACACAGCAGTGAGAGCAAGTTTATTTCAGTTGTGTTTTTTAGCCAAAGTCAAGCCATTTCTTCATCAAACTGACCTTGAAAAAGCTGCTCATACTTTTATCAGTTCAAGATTGGACTACTGCAACGTAACTGATGTTGGCATCTCCCAGTTTTCTATCAGCCACCTGCAACCCATGCAAAATGCTGCAGCCTGTCTTTTAACGAACGCTCCCAGACGTGAGCACATTACCCCTGTCCCCTACGGTCTCCATTGGCTCCCAGTCCAGTCAAGAATTGCTTTTAAACTTTTAATGTCTGTGTCCGATCAGCATCTGCTTGAAGTCCCCAGGTCGAAATATACACACTGGGGTGACCGGGCCTTCTCTGTAGTCGCACCATAGCTCTGGAACAAGCATTCCCCCGACATTCGCACCATCACTGACCTGGGTCTTTTCAAAACAAAGCTTAAAACCTCTCTGTTTAAAATGGCTTTCATACCTAGCTGCGTGGCAACTTTTTATTTTGTTTTTTATGCACACACTTTTAGGAGTATTTATTTTAGGGTTTTTTTTTGCAGTTTACTTGTATTTATTTGAGTGTCTATTTTACTGCTGTTTCGGTTTGAAGTTATTCTCTTGTTTTTACTGTAGAGCACTTTTGTCACCCTTAAGCCTGTTTTAAAGGGCTATATAAATAGACTTTGATGAATTGATAAATACAATGTGAAAAATGGACAAACTGTTTTGTTTTTTAAGAGAGACTCACTTCTAAATTACCAAAATGCCCTTTTTACTGTGGACCCTGTCGATTTGCAAATATGATATGATGTGTGTGTGTGTGTGTGTGTTTAAATAATGACTCATGAGCTGCAAGTTCTTTTATGGATTTATTGCAGTGATTTAAGGTTTCTAAAAATCCAAGTTGTTTAGCGCTTGTGGTGAATGAAATCTTATACTTTATCAAATGCATTCTTTTTGCATTAACCCAATAATTCATAACTTAAATCTTGAAGGTCACCTAGTAGTGCAATACAATGAAAAAAGCCATGTTTTTATTGTTGTTGTTGTTTTTGAAATAAAAAATAAAATGAAGTACCTGTATATGTGTGAACGGGATAAACGTGGTGTGCATTACATGCTGCCAATAAATAACCAACTCTGGAATACCAGTGGCTGTTTTTATTTATTTATTTTTTTTATATTATAAAACATTAAGTCAAATGTAAAATTAACTATTTGGGATGCTAAGTGTGGTTTGAGAAACTACAGTTGATTTCCTCTTGACAAATTTGCGACAAAGTTGTCCTAACAAGTCGTGGTAGACGCTGCGCGGCGGCGGCGGCGGCGTCACCCGGAAGTAGTCGTAGTGTGCAGCGTGACCGGAACAACAAGATGGCGGAGAATGGGGAGTTTCGGGTAGGCGAAAAGAAAAACACTGATTGTGACTTACTTCTGTTAACATTACAACATTTAACAATAACTTTCAGCGAATATACCTGTGGATAAGTGACGCCCCGGGCCGATGCCCTGGGAGGACACTGTTAGTCAAGAATGTGCATCACAAAACAACATAATTTACGTTTCAGTATTTAGCCTTAATGCTAACAGTTTATGACTAGCCAGTCGCTAGTAGGTCTCTTGTTTGCTCGCAATAACTCATATTGCATATTGTCGTAGCCGCTGTTGTTTGAAACGCGTTTAAAGTAGTTACATTGTGCGTATTTATTTGGCGTATTTAGTAGCCTAAACGTAAAATTAACTGATTCTGTAAAAGGAAAAAAAATCGTGGCAGACGAGGATACACCCACTTAGCCTAAAGTTAACGACAGCTTGTTAAACAACTACTTTTTTCAAAACTGCACTAAGTTTTTTTGATGTTTAACAAGTTGCTGTTTATAATGTCTAAATAATATTTTCTTTGTGAACAAACGCAACAAAACGCACAGCTGGATAAATATTTGCAGCTCAGTAGGTAACTTGATCATTGCAAGAACCACATCTACTGTTTGTAATGAACTCAGCTCATTTCGCAGGCCTTTACTGGATGGACAGCTCCAACAGGCACTGCTGCCAAGGCATCCAAGTATAATTTGTCTAAATACTTAGAAACATTACAGTAATAGTAATTTGAACACACATACAACAGTACGATGAATGTTTCTATATGGTGTGTCCAGTATTTATGTTGCCTTTGTGTACCTGAGGTTGTGGCGTGTTGACTCATTGGACCACTAGGTGCCCACTGCTCTCACATGTGATGTGTGTGCAAGACTGATGATCATAAACATTGGCTCTTTTGTTGTGTACTATAGGAATCACAGCTAACATGAATTTTTTGAGCTCTATTCCTTCCTCTTCCTTCGCTGCTTTAAATTCCCCCAGGAGCTGGGAGCCAGTGGTGTTTCTTTCTGAAATATTTAAACTGTCTGCCTTTCTAAACACCTTAAACGTTTTTGTGTTCTGTCTGTTAGAAGTTACAAAACCTGCTCATCATTGAACTAAAGGGAAGATGTGATTATTCTGTCAGCATTCGGCATATGATGAAGTCATTATGATGCTGCCAAAGCCTAAATGAATTCCAATGTATTTGCTTGTTTGACTTTAACAAGCTCGTGCAGGGGTGGTCATTTGGCTTAGAGTACAGGCATAACAGTCTGAGAACATGGTTTCAGTTTTTCCAAATGGTTACCGGATGGAAAAGGATAAAAGTAGGCTGTGTTGAAAAAAATACAAGCAATGGTTTGTGTAGGCGTAGAGAAGCTTGTGTAAATCGGAATAGATTCATAGAGCAAAACTGGAACCTGTAAATTTCTACCTACGAAATCCATTTTAGCTGTTCTTTATACCAATACCAGTGCCATTTGGGGTCGTGTTTTTTGACTCTTCTTCTGCACTCAATATACACTGTGCTTGTGTTATCTACTTTAGTCAAAGGGCACAGGTCGTTATAATGGACAACTGATTAATATGAAAGTCACTCATTTCTAACATGACAGGTGCAGGTTAGAGCCCTTAAACTCTAAACTTTATTTATTTAAATGTGATACTCATGTTATTGACTGAATAGTCTCTATAGTAAATCTCTGTAGAATTTCTTCTTTTTTCTTTTTTTAAATTCAATTTATCTGTGTTCAATTAGCTGCAGTGCCGCCAGTGTAAAATGGACTTAGCAGCTAATTAGGAAAAGCCATATGAAACATGTTTATGCATTTCCTGCATAATCAACTTATTATGTAGGTATATATAGGTTCCTGTGGCAACAAGCTGCATGCCATTTGTCTACTGTAAGTGCATGACTTCATTCAGAGGCATTTCTAACTTGCTATCTGCAACAGGTTTAAAATTCTCTGCTGAAAATCTGTATTACTCAAAGAGAATATGAAAAAAAAAGATGAAAGTGAGGCGTTTCATATAGCTGATTTAAATTCCAAATTCTGAGCAGAATTTCCTCCGAACCAGGTTAACTGTGCAGCAAAGGTTCTATGGTGATCTAGTCAGCTTCAGTGAGAGTCGTCTTTTTGATCCTGACAACTCTGACTCTAGACTCAACATACTTTACTAGCCCATTAATTTCACTTCACAGTAAAGCCCTGAGGAGTGGGCTGTGGGGATAGAGAATGCTGATAATTGAAAAGAGAGAGGAAAGTAAAAAAGTATGTTCAAATTGTGTAAGGTGGTGTTACATGTCTACAGCTGAAAAAACTCATTCTCTTTCTTTGTTCAAACAGGTGAACATTCAGGACAGAAAATAAGATGGCATTTCAACTATCCTTTCCCAAAATTGAATCACAGTACTTTGAATTATACAGTTTAAAATACAAGATTGATGACATAAGCTGTCTGTAAACACTGTTCTGGTAAAGTGATACTGATTTGTTTTAACACCAGTATGCTGTTGATACAGTGTTAACTGCTTAGGGAGAGGAATTCACCTGTTGTTTCAGGCATGTTTTCAGAGTCTGAATATACTAACGTTTTAAACTTTGAGGGCGCACTGCCTATCCTTTTAAACAAATTTGATAAACTCTTTCTTTAATTGATCAGCGTGTGAATGTTTAAAGTTCTGCAGGAACTTTGGCTGCAAATTTTGTGGCTTCCAGTCTCGAGGGTACAATGTGAAAAATAATAATTAGGCATAAGAGCATAAATATATGGCATAAATATGAATACATTCATCTTTTGAACTGAGGTGTGTGCACAGATAACAACTTGGTTTCTTCCTTAATTCTGAGATTCATGTGCTTGTATTGACAGTTTGCTTGCATAAATTAACAGAAGTTGAAATTGAGCAATTGGTGACTTTTTTTTTTTTTTTTTTTTTTAACAAAGTCAAGGGTGAAGCGAGATTGTTTAAATCTTTCTGTGCTCATGTTGCACTGCATTAGGCTAGGTGTTCGTATTCAGGTAACCAACTGATTGCAGCTGAAGCTTGCCAGGCTACAGAAACACTGTCGAATGCAGCATGAGCTGGTGCTTGCTTGTGGTTTTTAGTCAGATCATCATTAGAATTAAAGTCAATGTTAGTCTTAGCTGTGGTTTGCGGTAGGCAGCGCGCTACACCTGGGATCATGTTTCTGTGAACTTGTTTTTTTGGTTGTATTCTAGAGTATGGTGTCAAGTTTGAGAGTGTTGAAACTTGTAGGTGTTACTGCGCTTTGTTTGTCACCAAAAAGTGGTCTTACTGAATTTGTCCTGTAGCCTTTGTATATGCTGAAAAGTGGCTACAGTTTAGCAGTGCAAATCATTATCAAGGAGCTGTAGGACCAGCGTTTCTCCAAGATCACCACCAGAAAGTCACTGTTGTTGTTTGCTGGTTGATAGCTAACTGGAATGAACTCTGTCATCTCTGTCAATAGGAGTCAATCCTGTAACACAGACTTCAGCTTACTGACTGGTGAAACCACCGTGTGGCACCACACCGAAGCCAGCATGAGCCTCCAGCAGCCAGCCCCTCTCATGCCCCCTGTCCACCCTGATGTACAGATGAAACCTCTGCCCTTCTATGATGTCCTGGACGTTCTAATTAAGCCTTCAAGTCTAGGTCTGGGATATTTTCTTTGTCTTTTTGTTTAACAAGGATAAAAATGATGATGGGACTTTTTAAAACATTGCTGAAAATATATCTTAACTTATATCTTGTCATGCGGAGGGGCCAGAGATTGAACCACCAACTTTGCAACAGGCTGCTTTACCACCTGAGCCACAGCCGGCCCAGGAGGGCCTTAAAAAAAAAGAAGCTATAATGGTTTCATCCTCTGCTGAACTGATGGGCTTCATTTAGCTTTGCATGTGTATCATGCCAATCATGTTATTCTAGTGGAGTTTAATGATGCAGATATAAATGTAGTTAACATGAGCCAAATTGTTCCCTTTGACTATGTTGTATTTGTTTAAATTGTTAATTGTTTATTTGATAAATGTTATTCTTGGCAATGAACAGGTCACAGTCTTATAATGGTGCATTGATCACAGTTGTGGTATTCTTTTTTTTTTTTTATTGAATATTCCAGCATTTGAGTGTCTTCCGTGTTGTGTTGAAAATACAACAAACTGTGACTCCATTATCAAGGTTCATACCGAATTGTTAATATTTTTGTAGCATTACACATCCAGTGTGAATGTGTACAATAATGTAATAATGACACTAAAGAGGGTCACTTCATAACTAACAGCCATCATTTGTGTTCTCAGGAGCAAGTACTGCACAGAGGTACCACCAAGAAAAATATTTTATCTTTGCTTTGACACCACAGCAAGTTCGAGAAGTATGCATATCCCGGTAGGTTTGTTTGTTAATATGTCAGTTATTACCCAGTTATGAGGGAAAACATGCCTATATGCTTTGTCTTGTCTGTTACAGGGACTTTCTACCAGGTGGCAGAAGGGACTATATGGTTCAAATTCAACTGAGGTAAGAATGTTCAGCGTTTTCTAACCTGTAAATGCTAGATCATGAAATTCCTTAATTAACAGATCTTAATTTCTACGTGTTGAGTGAAATAATTTGGTTTAAATCAAAACATACCTAAACTCATGTATACTATCTTAAATAGTGTATTGATTGTGACTCTAACCTCCTTAATCAAAATGACAAATTCTCTGACAATCACACATCTACATGTTTACACATACCTCGTCAGGCAGATGGCCACCCACCCTGAGCCTGATGTAGTTGGAGTTTTTTTTTTTTCTTCTTCTTTGCCTTCCCTATAAAGGGAGTGGTTTTGGTTCCCTCCCACTGTCCCTAAGTGTTTGCAAAGGATGCTTTGGATTTGTTGGGTTCACTGTCTTCACTTTACAATGCAAAGTGCCATGAGATGACATATGTGGTGAATTAGTGTTATATAAATCAAATTAAATAAACTTTTATTGAACATGCTGTAAATGGGAAAAACACTGATTGTGAATATAGCACTACAATGTTCATCATAACTGTTACGCAGGATACAATTTCTACTCATGCACAGGTTCAGCTCAGAAAAATTAGAAAAGTGTGAAAAAGTTCATTTTGTTGTCATGTAATTCAAAAAGCTAAACTTTCATATTTTCTATATTCGTTACATGCGAAGTGAATTATCTCAATACTTTTTTTGTTTCAATTTTAATGATTACAGCTTATAGAGAAATGAAAATTAGAAATCCAATATCTCAAATTATTAGAACATTTCCTAAGATCAATCAAAAAAAAAGGATTTACAATACAAAAATGTGCAACTTCTGGAAACTATGTTCATTTATACACTCATAGCTTGTTTGGGGCTCCTTTACTATGAATAGCTGCATCAATGCAGTGTGGCATGGAGGTGATCGGCCTGTGGCACTGCTGAGGTGTTATTAAAAGTCCAGGTTGCTTTGATAGTGACCTTCTGCTCATCTGTATTTGGTACATCTGATGTTCCTCATCTTTGTCTTGACAATACCCGATATGGAGTTCTGTTGGGTTTAGGTCAGGTGAGTCGGCGGGCCAATCAAACACAGTAATATCATGGTCAGCAAACCACTTGGTCGTAGTTTTGTCGCTGTGGGCAGGTGCAAAGTTCTGCTGGAAAAGAAATCAGCATCTCCCTGAAGCTTGTCAGCAGATGGAACTGTAAGTGCTTTAGATTCTCCTGGTAGATGTTGTGTTGACTTTGGACTTGATAAAACACAGTGGACCAACACCGACAGATGACAGAACACCACAACTCATCACAGACTGCAGAAACTTCACACTGGACGTGAAACACCTCAGATTCTGTGCCTCTCCACACTTCATCCAGACTGGAGGACTTTGATTTCGAGATGAAATGAAAAACTTACTTTCATCTGAAAAGAGGACTTTGGACCACTGAGCAACAGTCCAGTTATTTTTCTCCTTATCCCAGGCAAGATCCTTCTGATGTCTCTGGTTCAGGAGTGGCTTGATATCAGGAATGCAACAGTTGTAGCCTCTTTCCTGGAGACGTCGATGCTTGGTGGCTCTTGATGCGCTGACACCAGCATTAGTCCACTGCTGATGAAGCTCTTCCAAGTTCTAGAATCGAGACTTCTTTACAGTCCTCTCAAGGCTGCTGTCATCCCTGTTGGTTGTGCACATTTTCCAACCACACTTTTCCCTGGCACTCTGCCAACAGCCAGTCTTTAAAGCAATGACCTTCTATAGCCTACCGTCCTTGTGAAGGTTGTCCATGAACATCTTCTGGACAGTATTCAAGTCAGCAGTCTTCCCCATGATTGTGGTTGTGTGTACTGAACTAGACCAAGAGATGCACGGGATCTTTACTGTTTGAATAGTAATTTACTCAAACTCAAAATAAAAAGTTCTAATATTTTGAGATACTGGATTTCTGATAATCATCAAAATTAAAAGCAAACCCGGCTTGAAATATTTCACTTGTAATAGCTCTGGATTTATTCCATTTTTCACTTACATTTTTCATGATCTAACTGTTGGAGATGCACTAGTATATACACCTAAATGCAAAAACGAAATAAAGTGTTTGTGTGGGATCTGTTACTTTACTGCCTTCTTTATCTTACAAGAATGGTTCAACACTGTAAATGAAAAGATATGAGTTCTAAAATGTGCTATATTCTATATGAAAAGATATGAAATTACTATGTAAGACATCTAAGATTTTGTGAAACATCGAAAGTGAAAAGAATATTTGCATAATTCTTTGTATGAGGCTCTTCAACATGTCTTTGTCTTGTCAGGTTCTGCTTGTCAGAGACGAGCTGTCCTCAAGAGGATAATTATCCAAACAGTCTATGTGTCAAGGTCAATGGAAAACTTTTCCCTTTGCCAGTAAGTGTTTATTCAACTCCAGAACTGTTCAACCCAGTTCAAGTTAAGTATTCAACTGTAAAGCTAACTAAGTATTTTATTTTTGTAGGGTTATGCGCCACCACCAAAAAACGGCGTGGAACAGAAAAGACCCGGAAGACCACTAAACATTACTTCCCTAGTGAGACTCTCGTCTGCAGTACCCAATCAGATTTCAGTGACATGGGCACCTGAAATTGGAAAAGTGAGAAAACGCCAAACCAGAAGTCCCTTAAGCGTTTTGTTTTTCTGCTTATTTTTAATGTGCTTAATTTGTACCTTATACTTGGGAACAGTAGCACTGACGCCTCTGTTAAGGTTGTTTGATCAAGATTGTTTATTGTTTTTCAGACCTATTCTATGTCTGTGTACCTGGTGAGGCAACTGACATCGCCACTTCTGCTACAGAGGCTCAGGATGAAGGGCATCAGAAACCCAGACCACTCCAGAGCACTAAGTAACCTTAACATTAAACCACTATGACAGCATTTCCTTAAGGTAGTCACACTTGAGTAGAGGTCTTCGAAAAGCCAAAAGTTTTCCTGACACATCAGGTTTTATGTTATTCAGAAACATCCGCAGCATGTACTACAGGAGAATTCAATATACGCAGTTTTAGCAGTTAGAAAAGTAGAAAAACATCAATCAAAAATATTAAGTGGTCTGACTGCAAATTTTAAACAGTCAACAAGTACAAGGCTTAAGTGCTTTCATCGGCGTCTGTTGTAGGATTGTATGACTGTACAAAGATAATAAAATAGCTTTGAAATTGCTTACAGCTCTAAAAACTTTTGCCCTTTTCCAAGAGAACTGGTTGATCAGTTGTTCGTGCTTTTATATATGCTGATTTATTATGATTATATTAGAATTTATTATCTCCCTCCACAGCAGGTTGGGCGTGCAGCACAAGTTGTCATGGTGACGTATGCTGCTAAGAAATGAACCACAATCACTGCCCTAAAGTCTAGGATTAAACCTGAAGTTACCTTGTTAAATCCAGATCCTGCTTTGTAGTGCTGACCTCCAGTTACACAAGTAATCAGACAATGTGCGGTCGTACAAATGTAAGTTCTTATAAGTGTAGATGTGACCCACGACCGTTCGCCCGGATTTTTATTTTCCAGGAAAAATGTAGTGCAGAAAATCCAGTTTCTCTAAACCCCAGCTCTGGAAACCAACTCTTCACATACAGATACATGACATTTTTGAAATTGGAGTCGAGCTGAGTGCATGACTCTTTTCCAACACCTGGTTGTTTAACAAGCACAAGTGTTTGGCAAGAATAGGTAACAGTGTTTTTTCTAATCTTGTAAGTAAAGCTGCACCACCTGAACTGTACATTTACTGTCCAATTAAGGAAAAAACATATAAAAAGAAAAGAAAAATGGAACTAAATACTCAAATAGAATTAGGATCAGATAGGCTCTGTTTAAGACATATTAGTATTCACATATTAATTATACGAATACCTTTCATACAGCAACGGCACCTCAAAGGGCTGTACATCAATGTAAGAGAATAAAGTAAGTAAATATCTAAAATTAGTAACGATGAAACCTTTACATATACAAAAGAATACAGAAGGCCATAATACAAGTAGTAAATAGGCCTGATACCAGTAAATTACTTAAAACAACATAAATATAAACCCATAAAGATATGTTTTTAGGTTTTGCTCTGTTTTAGTTTGTCAATTGAACTAGTGTCATCAGGTGAGAAACAAATGTGCTGTATGAGCTGTCTGCATCATCAGCATAGGTTTGTTTAAAGCCAGTGTGGAGTGGACCAGAGCTGGTGTGATCCCTTGGTTAGGTTCCTAGAGGAGTGTGGTTTCTTTTTATATTTGGCTTTGATGTATTTTATTCCTTTAAATAATTCTTTTCCATTATTTTGTACTCTTCCCCTGCCCTTTGTGTTCCAGTTAAAGAGAAGCTGACAGCAGATCCAGACAGTGAGATTGCCACAACAAGTCTTCGAGTGTCACTTATGTGCCCGGTAAATTAAGCATTTGTGTAAAAATATTTTTGTGATTATAGCAAGTTTCGAATCATTCTGACAGTGAACAAAAGTTCGCTCAGAATTTTAGTACTGTGTATGTTGTGTTGATGGATCAGATTGGGGAGGGTTGGGATAGAGGTACACATAACTTTCTGCTGTGGTTTCTCTTTGAAAACTACCACTTAGGGTCACCGACACTTAACAAATTCAAAAACAGAACGCAACTCTGCATCAAATTGCACAAACAGTGGACACGATTTACTATTCTTTTCACCTTTAAAATACCCGGGCGCTCACTAGGGGTGGGTTTCGTTAAGATATTGATAGTCTTACGAATACAGCCTATCAATCAGGTACTTTCAAAATACTCTTAGGATTTTTTGGGTTATTTTTCAAGATAAAAAGCAAGCACAACAAGAAATATTTATATTCTCTCTGTTAAATTTCCTCTTTCATTCTTTAGTTTTATGTAAATAATAATAATAATAATAATAATAGTAATGCAGGGCTTTCTCTGTGACAGTACAGTGCTGCCCGTGTATTATCATACCCTCAGTCCAGGATGGAATGATAATTATATCCGGGATATTCCAAAAAGCGGCCTTCAATCCCAACGATAGAGCACTGAGAAAATTGTCTGTCTGTGTGACGAAAAACAGGGATTTATACATAAAGCCAAAATGGGACTGTTTTCACAGGACCAAAAGGACAGTTTCTTTGAAGACCAAGAAGTGTTGATTCAAACGGAGCTTTATGGTTTCGCTTCAGAGAAATTTCACCTTTTTCGGTCCGAAAAGCCACCCCATCAATAAAAGTTATTTCCTTTAAACAGAGGGTATACAGAGGACTAACTTATCATGATTAACTAGCTGAGCAGTTCAGTTATGAGTGACGACATGCTCTGCAGCAATGCGATTCTCTTTGATGTTCCCTAATTAATGTCAGTGTGTGAATAACTCAGTGAAGCCGATCTCAGGCCAGCAGGTCACTGACAAACAAACAAACACACTGCCTTCCGCGGCTGACCGGGGTGTGATAATCTGCCACGCATGACCGATGCTCAGTCCGTGAGCCGTACCGATTGGCCAACCACGACTTTACATGGGCAAAAGTTATTCCTGGAATCAATTTCGAGAAATGTTATTATGACAAAAACCGGGATTATGCCATTATTCTATGACAATAAATGGGCTGTTTTACCATAGGTTATATAGGAAATGATGCAGGACTTCAATATTTCATGATTATAAACTGGATATTCTATAAAGCGGTAGAACATTAAGTGGGCAGCACTGTTTGTACTGTGTAGTATTAAATTGCTTTACTTAAGAAAACAGTTTGACTACTTTTATCACTGCCAACACCAACATTCAGGTAGAGAAAGGGTGAAAATAAAACAAGACTGAATTTGCCTGCAGCCCCCAAATCACTTCCTTACTTCTTCTCTGGCTCTAAGCGCTCCAAAACTAAACAACACTACAGATGATGTGCTGATCATTTCAGACTGAATTTATGAACACAGCTATAGCTTAACAGTCAGCTGCCCAGTGGTTACTGTGGTTCATGGACCCATGTTCATATAATTTAGTAAACTCTGTGAGAGCTATAGGCTTCTAGCAAACATAATATACCTTGAGCAGTGAAAGATAAACTGCAAGCTATGCAGTCAAACTAAATTTTTCTGCCTGTGTGTCATGAACTTTTGTTGGATGATTTCACAGATTGATGTTTCCGCTCTCACATGCTGAAGACTTGTCGCTTGTTACAACAAGCATCAAGTGTGTGTGCGCACGTTGGTGCTTATTGATCCTCTGGTGTAAAATATTTTACCTCAGGATCATTTTAGCGCTGGGTTTAGGTACACATAGCCAGCGCTCACACTAGACGGTATCTGCCACTTATGTTGATCTAATTTAGCAACATCTCATGAAATGGTCTCAGCCTGCAAGCTGATGGTCACTCATGCTCACTGCACTACTTCTCAGACATGAAACCTGAAGTTTGACAGAAAGAATGTCTGAGCAAATATTGTAAATACAATGAGTACAAGTGATTGATAATCAGGATTTGGCACTGAGATCCAAAAAGTTACAACTCACTTGAACCTTCCATCTGTAAGTAAATAGTAGTTCATGAATTATTGTAAAGTGTTCCTTATTCATTTTGGCTAACTCATGCCATGATTTCTCCAACAGCTGGGTAAGATGCGACTGACAGTGCCATGCAGGGCGGTGACGTGCTCCCATCTGCAGTGTTTTGATGCTGCCCTCTACCTGCAGATGAATGAGAAGAAGCCAACCTGGATCTGCCCTGTATGTGACAAGAAGGCTGCATACGAAAGTCTCATCATTGACGGGTTAGTTAAACCACTACTTCCATTTTGCAAAAACCTGAACTAACAATTGCTGCTGCTGAGGCAGTTGGACATTCAGGTTTTAGTAGATTGCCCAGATAGTGTGGAGCCACTTTCTCAACACTTCCTTTGACAAAATAGAGTAAATGAATAACCCATGTATTCCTGTACTATATCTCAATATTTAAGTAAAATTAATAAATTAATTTAATGTATTTTACTAGATATTTGCCAAAGTGATCCTGTAACCCATGTACTGGGACATATTTTAAAGGATATAAAGCTCTAGCTTTTACATACATACTGTGTTATGTCCCCCCACCCTGCTAGTGCTGAAGCATGGCTCTTTTTAAAGACGGCTACACTCTCTGCTGCCAGCATTTTACTGCATATAGAATGAAAGCCTAAATGTGAAAAGTGATGTGGTTGCCCTTGAATTGTCTGTGTTGTGACATCTACGTAATTAGCAGTAATTAATCTGCCAGATGTTCTTTTAGATTGCAAAACATTCAGGTAGTCACATTAGCTGTCACTAATTAACATTAATTCCATAATTCAGTTGGCTTTTGTAAGGTTTGTGTGCTCTCTGCAAGGCACCAGAGCATCACACATTAACATCACTGGATACATGTAAGTGCACTTGCAAAGTGTTTTTTAAGTCCCAACAACTCCAACAGAGACATACTGTGTATTTAATCCACATTTAGTCATTAAAGATACCAGTTGTAAATGGACTGGGATTAGGAATGGGGCTGAAAAAAATGGGTTAAAAATGTATCATTGTAATTTCTAATAAGAATTTAAACCTGTCTATGACTCGGGTCATGTGAAATTTGGGACCAAAAAACAGGTTCCTATTTCGAAAAAAAAACAACAAAGTCAGTCTGCTTTGTGTGACCAGTTGGTGTACAGTTAATGTGTATCAGTATTTTAAGTGTTTAACTCTCGGTTTAGTTTATTCTTGGAGATCCTGAATGACTGCTCAGATGTGGATGAAATAAAGTTCCAAGAGGATGGAACATGGTGCCCCATGAGACCAAAAAAAGATGCTGTCAAGGTTCCCTCTCAGTCACTTCCAAAAATTGAACGTAAGTACATCATCTTTATTCATGGATAGGTTGGAATTGATATTGCTAATGTTGTGTCTGTTATTGTTATCATTGATTTATGTGGCATAGAGCTGTACTGTTGCCTGAAACCTATTAAATACACAGTGAGTGGTGCCTCAGTGGCATTTGTCTCTAAAGCTAATGGTACTGTTTGTTAAAATTATGGATGCAAGCTCTTTTAGAAAATTACCAAACCTTTTTCAAAATGACACATTGTGTTTTTAAAGATTTTTGTCATCAGTAGATTCTTGGCTGAGTGCAGCAGGCAAGGAAACGAAATCAGAAAGCAGTGAGGGACAGACAAACACATTGTTGGTTTTTGCATTTTCATGGGATTGGTTGATAGTTGGATAAATGTTATGCTTTAACTTTTATCTTTTAGCCTCAGCTCCTTTGCGCCAGCCTTCAGTGGTCCCCCATTCTACTGAGCCCAGTTCCACCAAAAAAGCTGATGTGATTGATTTGACTCTGGAAAGCTCCTCTTCCTCTGATGATGAAGATGACTCAGACCCTCCACTGAAGAAACAATGTGTTTACATTTCCAAAAACGAGGAGATGCATGCAAAGGGGTGAGCAGGCCTCTCTATTTTGCTTTACCATAGACAGACCTGTGTGCAATTGGGATTGGCTGGTTATTGGCCTGGCCAATTATCTGTGATATTCAATATTCAGAATTTTTCCCATTATTAGTAATAATAATGATTAGTAATAATAATTAATTAGATATATATAGCGCCTTTTTATGCACTCGAAGACACTTTACACTGTCAATTATTCATTCACACACATTCATTCCGGCGGTGGTAGCTACAATTGTAGCCACAGCTGTTCTGGGAGAGACTGACAGAGGCGTGGCTGCCATTCTGTGCCTATGACCCCTCTGACCACCACCTCAAACAATCCATTCATACGCAAGGACACAACGACCATGACACAGGTTACAGGGCGGACTCGAACCACCGACCTTCCGATCATTGACCGACTCGCTCTACCACCTGAGCCACAGCTGCCTCACATTCGTATTGTTTTTATTAACAGATTACTGATGAAATTAATTAAATCCGTAACTTTGGTCCTGATGCAGCTGGCTCTCTTTTTGCCGGCAATCACTCTGTGGTCCCAAGCAGTGTCCCACTGATTCGCTGCACGTCATGAGTAATAGCCAGTCAATACTGAAAGGTATTGTTTATGGACAGGAACAGACAAGCGTGTGTGCAGAGCGAAGCAGCTCCAGTGAATTAGTAGACCTGTGTTTGGAAGGTGAGGTAGCAGATACAGGTGAAGTTGTAAGAAATACCACAGTCTTCCACAAGCATGCCTAGTTTCCCTGTTACACTGAAAATACCAAATTATTATACTTGTTGGTATTCAACTGGAAATTGTTTTGCTGATTATTTTGGTGCTAGGCTAATGCAATCACTGAGAGGTTTTCTGTGCCTCTAATGTGCCTAACACTATCCAGGGTACCCATAACATCTAAGTTAGGTTAACTTCAGTAATCTGCTCTAACTGACAGGCACATCTTTCTAGCAGGGACACAACCAACAAAAGCTGAACAAGAAGCGCAACCATAGCCACAAATCCAGAAACTGGTATATTATACAGTTGCTAAGGCTATGCCAATTGCTAGAGACTGAGTTAGGATCCAGCCACAGATTACCCCGGAGCAAACAAAACAAAACTAATAATACTTGAGGGCTGGGCCACCATGGTGGCTCGGGGGCATCTAATAAAAATCAAATCTATTCAAGTTTATTGTAATTTTGCTCTACCTACTACAGTAGGAATAGGAGTAGAATTTATTTAGCTCATTTATTTATTTCTTTATTTATTTGACTCAACCTGACCTATTCTTGACCTAGTTAAGTTTTAAGTTCTTTGTCATCTGTGAGCAGATGGTATTTGCAGCCCCCAAATTACAACAAAGAAACGGCTAGCTTAACCAACAACTCAGATGAAGCTACATGCGCACCGCTACATGCTGGAAGATATATTCAAAATTGTAAAGGATGGGATTCAGGATGAAGTTTCCTTGCTCAAGGCAATAATTCAGTTAGCAATTGCACAAGTATCACTACAGCAACTCACAACTCACGAAGAAGGCTTAACCTCCCTGGTCACCCAGATAGATTCTCTGTAAGCTTGCTGCAACCAACTAGCTAAAGACAATGCTAAATTACAATAGAAAATGGATGACCTGGAGAATAGAGGTAGGAGTTGCAACCTGCACATTGTTGGGATGCTAGAAGCTGCCAAGCAAGGCACACCAAGTATTTTTGTGTATGATATTCATTTGGAGTTGTTCAGTGGACTGGGCAGGCTATAGAAAACCCAGCTGCTTGACCTTGCTCATCGTGTACAAGCTCTCCAGCCAAAAGAGGAAACAAAACACCCACACTCCTTCCTTTGCAAAGTTCACCTTTTCCAAGTGAAACAGAAAATGCTGAAACTTTCATGACCAAAGGGAAGGCTGACCTACAATGGCAACCAGATTTCATCTCACAGCTACAGTGCAGATTTGGACAGGTGCAGGACGGTGTACAACGGCACACAACGAGGTGAAAGCTTTACACAGCATAGCTAAAATTCAGGTTCCCATGCCCAGTCTACATATGGATACATACACATATGGGATTATTATTCAAATAGGGCTATCCACTGTGTACTAACCCTACCTCTGCACAACACCACTGATGGTCTCAAACACATGAAGAAGGCAAGTAATTCCACAAACTGACTCTTGACAAGACACACCTGTTAATTCATAACCATTCCAGGAGATGACCTCATGAAGCTGACTGAGAGAATGCCAAGTGTGTGCACAGCTGTCATCAAAGTAAAATAGGGCTCCTGTAAAGAATCTAAAATAAAAACCTATTCTGGTTAGTTTAACACTTTTTTGTTTACCACATAATTCCATATGTGTTCTTTCATTGTTTTGATGTCCCTAGTATTAATCTACAATGTAGAAAATAATTTAAATAAATAAAAACCACTGCATGAGAAGGTGTGTCCAAACTTTTGACTGATGCTGTATGTCAGTACTTGCTATTATTGTTTCTATTCAGTAACATAACTGACAACACTGGACACTAGATTTTTCTACATTTTAAATCATTGCTGTTGGATGAATGGATGACATCTGCAGCACACAGTTCATGTAAGAGCGTTTTAATAGGGTGCAGCAGTTAATGTTTCTTCATGGAGCATGTCATTAGTTTACTGTTCTCTCTCAGGGTGTTGACCTACCAGCCCACTGTGCGCGTGCCAAACGTCCAGACCTTGGATCCATCATATCTGACCTCTACACTTGCTGACTATGCAGTCCCCTTCCATCCATCCACCCTGGCCACCATCCCTACTGATATGCAGAGTGAGTCAGCTAAATAACAGGGCTGTAAACAATATCTACAAGTTGATACTTTTAATAATCTTCCCGTTCTGTCTCTTACTCATAGGTCTGGATTTGTTTTCCTTAATTCAAGCAGATCCTCAGGTATGTTTGCTGTGGTTTCCCACTGGTGAAAGACTCACTATGCATGGTTTCCAGATCATTATAGCAGCAACACAGCATAGTCTGCTCAAATCACCATCTAGTGAGTGTGTACAGTGATGGCAAATGTGGCAAAAGTGAAATTCTCCTGAACATCAGAGATTATTTACTTTGTCTTCAGAAACACTTGACTCTCTAAACCGTCTTTTAGTTTATTTCAAGAAAATCTTTTAGCCTAATTTTTGTTCATTTTGTATCTTCCATACAGTACCAGTCAAAGATTTGGACATACCTGCTCAAGGCTTTTGAAACTGTTCTCTACATTGCAGAACAATACTGAAGGCATATAAAGCAGCACTAAGTAGCCAGGGTTTTCTGCCACTGGTTTAAAATGGCTAGTCAAGTCTAGTTCTAAACACTTTACAGGAATGATGGTCAGACTACAAAAATTAAACTTGTTAAATAAAAGAATTTGTACTTGAACTGCAATCTAGGAAGGACATTAAGAACAAGCAGAAATAAGAAGTAAAACACTTAGTGGTGAGTCACATGGATCCTGACTGCTGATAAAACCATGTCTGCACTACGCCATCTGTGAAGATAGGCTCACACTCATGTAAGTATAGATTAGGACTGCTCTATTGCTACATAATCGAGCACAACATAAACAATGCATAAACCTTATTCAGTTCCTGCAGAATTTAGACATGTGAAAAGGTCGACTGTAGAAAGTGTTTTAGAAGTTGTTGGCGGTACCAAGAGAATTGCCACATATTGGATTAGAGATGTTATGTTGTAGCATTTCACACTACAAGGTTCTGACATTTTCAAAGGAATGATGCTGATCTTGACTTGTTTTTCTTGTTCAGCATTACCGGCCTCAGATGTTTTTGGATAACCTGACAAACAGCATGCAACCTGCAGCCAGCACCAGCTCAGCTCTGGTATCCTCCTCCAGCAGCCACTATGACACCAGCACCCATGCTGCCAGCTCCATCCATGAAACCCAGGTCATCACAGGAGGAAGAGGGGGTGCCAGAGGAGGGACTGACAGCAGCATATCAGATATCATTTCGCTTGACTGAGCCACATCTCACTGGACCTTTTCAGGCCTGTTTTTGCGGCTTTTTAGTGTGGTCTATATGTACGTGACATGTTGAGTTCTGCAAAGAAGCACCCAAATTGGTATACATGAGCATTTTGATGACCTGAACATTTTCGTTTAAAATTGTATCCAGGCAGGGGTTTTTTTGCCCTTGGATTTTCAAAATTCAAATGTGGTTTCCTTCCTGTCTTCTACGGTAGGATGAAAAATGGTTTGATGACCAACGACAGCATCAACTGAAGATTTAACATTTTCCAGAATGAGTCAGTGCATTGCCAGTTATCTTGCCCTTGGCATTCAAGGAAAATCCTTGTTTGCTGTTATACCGTTAATGTCATGACATCATGAAATGAAAAAGTGTTTTGCCTTGGTTTAGTCCAGCCTATGTGCCAATGTGAGGTTGACCAGGAGCATACTCTGGATTGGAGTCAATGGAACTTGCAACTCTTTCACATTAGTAATTTATTTCAATGTTCATGTCAAAACAGTACTGCTGAGGAAACTTTGATTAGTATTTTCTTTTTATTTCATCATACATTTTTATGATGACTTGAACAACAGCTAGTCTTGTGGCTAGCCTTTATGCGAGTAGATTTGTCTTAATAACCCTTCCCCCTCAGCTCTGCAGATGTCTTCCTGTCAGAAAGAAAAATGCCTGAGATACTTTTTTGTGTTCCTTCAACGTTGGAAATATTCAGACCATTCAACTCCTGATTTATACCATATTGTTTACTTGCGCATACATGTAAACTTGACATCAGTCTATTGTGGCCTGGTTGACCTGAACTGTGTGCCTCATTAGCATGAAACAGAGTCAGAATGAATGAAAAAAGGGCTTGGACTGTTCACAGCAAGAGCTCAACAATATTCATGCAACATTCTTGCAAGTGAATGAACGACTGGACATAGGAAGCACCTCTAAGAAAGACTTGTGGACAGACTCTACACTTTGGAGGTGTCAGACCTCCTCACACACTGTGGACAGGGCTGTTTCTGGCTGTGTACGCTATCTGCTGGCTGTGTGTCTGCCTGTTTCATTCACACCATTAGAAACATGGAAGGTCAGTAATTTTTGTTGGTTCACCAGATAGTCACTACTTTGATGGGTAGGTTTTTGTTACAGGGCAGCTTTTATGTCATACCAATGTAAAATATTCCTTTCTTTCATTGTAATTTAATCAGAGCAATAATAATTTCGAGTTGGTTTAAAAAGTTGTAGTGTGACTCCAGATGTTCTGTACCACTCGGCCTTCCAAATATTCCCCTCATGTATGATCAGCCTGTTGTCTTATGTTAATTACAAACATGACAAACATATTGTTCCTGTAGAGAAACAGACTTAAAGGAATAATTCAAGTTTCAAGTAAACACACTAATTTGCTTTTCTTTGAGAGCGAGATGTTCAGATGGATATCAATCTCAGGGTTGTGTCCAAAGTCAGCCAGTTCATCATTCATTACTCCATATATAATGGACATCAAATAATACACACAATACACATTTTTACTGAGAAAGCATGTCAACTTGTTATTGCAGGAAAAGCACAGGTGGAAGTAATGGCCCGCATTCCATGTGGGTGAGCTTGTTCCTTAGCCCTGGTATTGGCTGACTGGGATGCTGGATAGGACTGAGTCATTGCTAATGAAATTAGTTTCATCTTTGCTTTGCTTTACTAGCTGTGACAAGTCAACCTGTTGATCATTGTTAGCGTTACCTCTGTCAGCTGTTGAGTCATGCAGCCATGAGTTTGTAAGTCACATTTAAAATGTGGAGCATTGCATTGGGGGGATTGATGAATATCATGGACATGGTCTGTTGTAGGGGAACTGTGCAGTGTGTGCATAAACGCATTCAAATAAAGTAGCTGAGTTAATGGAGTTGACTGTAGTATATAGGGAGGGATTCAGACACAGCCCAGATGTTGTAAACCTAACTTGGTCGTGTTTATTTGTTTTGCACATTTAAACACAACAAAATACTGAATCAGTGAAAACAAATTAAAAACAAAGTAGTCTATTAGAAACCTTAGAACAATTCAACCTTTGCATCAAAAGTAATCCAAATCTGTATAGCATTAATTACAAGGGTAGCTTAGCATCAAGAATGGAAATGGCTTACCTGGATTAGACAGAAGTTCAGAACTACACCTACCAATACCTCTAAAGCTCAGTAATTGTGCGATATCTGAAGCTGTTTCCCCATTTATACTGAGCTAGACTAACTGTGTTCTGACTTCAGTTCTGCTGCTAACAGACATGAGAGTGACATTCATCTCCTCATCTTGCTCTCACAATATTTAGCCATATATTGAACTGCCACATTTGTGAAAAAGAAAAATCTTTGACCAGTATCAGGCAGTTTAAAGGATTTTGACGAGCTGTAAATTACAGTGTTTACTTGTATTGAAGTTAGTGTTAAAATTCTGACAAATTTATCCTGCAAAAAGTCTCTTGTTCTTCCCTTCAGTTGCCATTTAAAAGTCCTTTAATTCTTTTAAACTGTGACGTCTGCTATTTTTGGATTTTGCTGTATGTCAATGATGCTATGTGTTGCTGTCTGGGAAGAACAGACATGACATGAACATTTCTCAGTGTTAACACCGACGCTCAAGCCCACTTACTCGTAGTTGACAGCAGGCAGCAACATACAGATTGGAAACAGAGCAGCTACTGTATCATAACTACATCATCTGGATTGCTTGTTGTTTATGTGAACTCCCAGCTATTGGAAGTTTAATCTCAGGGACCTACAGTCTGCTTTTCTGGGCTTGAACAGTGTAAGTTAATTAAAATATAGACACATAGTAACAATGCTGTCAGCATCTGTACCAAAAATACAGATGTTGATATCAAAGTAAGGCTAATGTAAAAATATTTTTAGGTCAGTGTATCTTTTTTATTCAAACATTATGCCAAGGAGGTTTGGCATTTACAAGTTGACATGTTAGGGCAGTGATAAGTCTACCAAATTACAAGAAGATAGAGAAAACTTTACTTGGCTTTAGTGGTATCTATCTATGGAAATGTTTTTCATTCATGTGAAAAAGTTTTGTAATATGTCTTTGAGATTTTACTCTCCACACAATTTAGTTGCTTATTAAGACATGGCACTTAGTGGGTTTTTACCGTCATTATTCCTGCTTCTCTCTGTATTTCACAGACTGGAGACAGTCTTAATTAGAACTCCTATGAAAACTGTCAGCAAAACCATTGTTGCTGATCCCACTTGCCTCCATTCTGTTGGGGTGGAAGCATAAATCTCACACAAACATCGCAAAGCCTGGATGAAAATGCTTCTGCATGGGGACATACTATTGGTTGTACATGGGAAAATACAATTTTTGAAAATTTTGCTCAACCGAGACCTGGAAAGAAGGGCATAATAAAAATTGAAATGTGCAAGATCAAGATGATGAACACCTTTTCCCACCTGCTCAAATAGGAAACACTCATTCGTGGAGAGTGCTTGCAGAAAGGTCATCAACTTGTGAAAATACTGATTATATTAAGAGTCTCGATTCACCTGTTGTGGGTTTTTTGTACTCTTTATACTTTATGGACTTTGAAACATATTCCAGATCACTTTAGAGTTTCTTTTTTGACACCATATTAACAGAGTCACAGATGACGCCCTCTTTTGTTTTGCTCAAATTCTGGAAGTTTATTACAGGATGGTTTATTTGTAAATTGTCTTTGTTTTCCTGTATCTGTAAGCGTGCAGCAATTTGCAGTGTGGTACCATGTATAAATCCTTTTGTTTTTTTTAATAATTAAAGGTTTTTGTTTTTTTTATTCAGTTATAATTTGTTGGTGTTAGAATATAGTTTCATTTCAGTAAATGATGCTGTGTATGCCAGTTCAACCGAAGTGTTGACTTCAGGGGGCCAATGGAGTGAATCACACATGTTCTTCAGTTTTAGCCTATATTAAAAAAAAAAAACTTTTCAGGATTACACTTCAGAATGCTCTAAGGAGCCCACTTAGCTAAGAGAGAAAAATAAGACATTTACTTACTATACTGACATCTAGCAGGAACAACTCTCAAGTGGTCATGCTATTATTTGCATGATTTAATTCTGATCTACTTTATTGTACATTTTTAGGAACTTTTTTTTTGTGAGATGTGTCTTTCTGAAAAACATGTATAGTTGTGTTACTTGTGTGTGAGCTGTAATTTCTCTAGTGAAATGAACATGCAGTATGAATGTCTAAACAGGGAGGAAGCAGCAAAAAACTGTCTGAAAAAGAAATTTATCTGCAGCTGCAAAGTGCATTTGCTGGTGGTGATCCAACAGAAAAAAAATACCTATACTATTTAGTGTCACAGTGGCAAGGGCATAAAGTTAAGCTGTATGGAAATTGATTATAATCACTAGAACTAAATTACAAGGAAGCAGCAGCTAAAATCACTACAGTTGGATAAAACTGCTTTCACATTGCTTCAGCTAACATCTTGTGCTTTATTGTAAAGTTACTCCACAAGCTCTTTGTTTTCTTATTTTATGACTG